CTTTTTGCACTATTCGCGCCTGATGCATCAAGTATATTTTTTTGATCGAGTTCCTCACACGAAGCAGACACACCAGGCACGCACGTTTTCCGTCTTCGTTTAGGTATGTACGTGGTCTTGGAAGCTTCGTTGTTCGTGTTTGTTTTGCGTTAGAATACAAAACGTTTGGTCGTATTTCAAGTTGGCATCGTATGCGCCGCAATTATTTGTATTTCATTCATTCCAGAATTGGGTACTTGAAACAGGCCAAAGAATAAGCTTGCCTTTCTTTCGCCGGCGTCGCTATCCCCTTGCATGTGAGGAAATTGACTGTTAATCCCCTTACGTCACACAAATTAGCACAGTCATGGATCGAATAGCAATGGATTAACGCGCCAACCAAGTAAAGGTCATCGCTCTGTCCATCTTGTTAATAAAGTAACGAATATGTCAATCTGTTCCTAAAAAATGTAGTCCCGTTGCCTAACAGAGTAACAGAACGGCGATCATGCCCCCAATGTCTTCTTGGTTCTCAGTAACTAAGCTACGATTAGCAATTTTGCAGGTCTTGTTTGTGCGTGATATTCATGCAGCACCTCATTTACAACAGAAAAGAAGCCAGGTCAACTTTGTTAGGATCTACCCGTTGACACCAGCTGATTGCACAGCTCATTTTTCAGTGAAAATCAGTGAATGACGCAAATTTGATTTGCTCGTATGTACCGCATATGCTGTTAACATTCGAAAAGCATAAGATGTAGAAGCAGATTGACTAGGAATCAGATGGCCGATTATTATGGTTGGCTGGAGGGCATCGGATTACATTTATAATTCCAGAAAAAGTGGATTAGTGGATGAACGGCCTTTAGTCTCGCCGAACCGGGTTCTGCAAGTAATTTTCAAAGAGCTATACTTCTAAGGGAATGTTTTGCAGTTTACGGGACTTAAGCTTAGATAGCCACTTCTGAGCCCTGCTGTAAAAGAAGCCACCAAACGTCGGATTTACTATTCCAGGCGGTTAGTCCTGAATTAGTTGCATTTCGATTCCTTTTCCGAGTATCATGTCATCATTTTATTCCATTTTCTTTCGAGTATGATTTCATCAGCGATGGCGTGTATCAATCACGTTACGTAACTCAGGTAAGTGATTTAGAACCGATTAAAATAATAAGTCATAGGGTCATGCTTTGCTTTGTTCACACAAGAAGTCTAGTCTAGCCGAGCTGGACTCTAATTTAACCATTTCACAATCAAAGACGACTCTATTTGTGCTTTGTCTATCGCCACATACATAAGATGAGACATTCCCTTGTTGTGTACATAGCAATCGAGCCCCTCCCCCAGAAATGTATTTCTTGGCATGAGAAGAATATTGTGGTGGTCTATGGCTCGTATGAAATTATTTGACTGCAGTTAGACGTTGGCGGCATACGCTACAGTATTTGCGCAAGGCGTGGCTATAATGTGGATGCTGCGAAAGACTGGTTGGGTTACAGCATACCAGCAATGCAACAAAAGTTGACCCCATGGGGTTGCAGCGCACTGGACAAAACCGAGAAGCGGCCAAGTGGCAATTTTGATGCCATTCTGCTTTTTGGTGGTGCTGAAACCTCGCCTATGAAATTACAGCTGCTCTCTTTTTAAAGATCGCAGACTTGTGAATTTTTCGCCATTACCCCGTTTCTTCCATAGTGATGAAGTGTTTTATGATTGAAATCATTTGATCTAATGTGATTCTTCTGTTCGGGATCCGGTATTTTGCGGAGCCAGTGCGGTCGCTCGGAGTATCAGAACAGAACGCTTATCCCCTTGCTGTTTGCAAACTAATCGTAGCGTATCATGACCACTTATTTTAACCAGATACGTTTGGTTTTTAACGGAAAAAACGGTATCACCTGTGAGTGTGGCCGTTACTTCGACTGATCCGGCCATCTGCTCGGTTGCTGTTCTCCTCGCTTCGGCCAGCGCTTCTTCGCGCTCTCTAGCCCACTCGCGGACGGGGACCTTTCCCACGGGCTCTGGGATGAAGAAAGGTCAGGTCTGCAGTGATGAAGTACTGCAGCAGCCTTTTGGACAGTCAGTGTGGGCGGCACATACTTGGCTCTATTGGGTCTAGTGCTTCCGGCCCACTTTGCGCCGGATATTGCCTACTAAGGTCAAGTAGGTCAGATTACTTCACTGTGGGAATTTCAATCAGCGCCTTTGTCATTTAGTCTGTGAGGTTCTCGTCCTAGCTACCCTCGTCAAAATCTTTACCTGCGTACGGTTATCAAAGGGAGTCTTTCACACCTACGTGTTAAAATGTGTATGTAATAAATGCTGCGAAAGCCTGAAACACATTGTTTAGACCAAAAAAGGTACGTGAGCATGGAACAATCATCCTGCGAATTCAACGAAACGTTATGAAATGGCTTTGATTTCTCGCCTATGGCGTTAATCGGAGGGGCTTTTTTGGAGGGGCACTGAGGCTTTGGGAAGGGAGCATCACATGATCCATGTGACGCACTGGTTCAAACCACGGTCAATGCGCTTCTCGGCAACAAGCACTTGCCCTGGACCAATATCAAGCGTTCTCTTATTCGCACCAGTAGAGGTGCGTACGGCGGTTGTCATGACGACGGTTGGCTCCATTTTGGGATGAAAGCATAGTGCTGTTACAAAGCGTTAATAGCGTAATTTGGACTCGAAATGAGTAAAGTTTGTATACGTATTTTGCCTTGAGAGTGCTGCAGTGGCATTACCCAATGTTACTATTAGACTAGCTAATACCGACATGTTTCAAGAGTATGCTTTTCATAGATACCCCAAAAGTGGGACCCTCCATTTAAGGTCCTTTGGAATGTTCGAGATTAGGTGTTCGTACAAATGGAACAATCATTCGACTCCTTTTCTAGACAGGCATGTATATCTTTCTCAAATTTTCTTCCTGGTCCTCACTTGTTTCTTTGACAAAACAAAACCATGAATCTTGGTTCCCTCCCGTTCATTCGACAAACCAAAACCCTGAATCCTAGTTCCTGCTGGATCTGTCGACAACCACGATCCTGGTGCTTAGTTCTCACTGATTTTTTTTTTGTCGACGAAACGGAACCCTGGATCCTGGTTGCCACGGGTTCCTTTGAGAAATTAATTCCTGGATCCTGGTTCCCTCTTGCTTCTTAGCAGACCGTGGGCCTGGCTCCTGGTTCCCACTAGTTTTTCAATAACGGGAACCATGGACACTGGTTGTCACTGATGTTTGATAAGCACAAGACCCTGGCCCATGGTTCTCAGCCACAAAGTCTTCCCGGGGTTATCTGCACATCTTCGTGGGTGTTTAGCTCAGAAACTGGAAGGGTTTAGGTCTTTAAAAGGGCAGGGCTGTGAACTGCACCGGTTGATCTTCAAGATAGCTGTTTCAGTTCAAAATCCCATAAAATGTAAACTTGTTAGAAAGATTGTGACCCTAAAAACACACATTGCTGCGCGTTCCAAATAAAGACTGACAGGGGTCTCAAATAAGATTCTGGTTTTTGCTGCTTACCTTGCCATCACTCCAGACTGGAGATCTGCTCTAGCTGATGTCAGGTTAATCCTAAGTTGTACTTGGGTTTTTGCTGGATCTCTACATGTTTCACGACGGATCTTTGTTCTTGCTGGATCTCTTGAGATAGTGTTAGGCTGGATCTTTCGACATAATTCCAGGTTGTATCTCGGTTCTTGCTGGTTCTCTTGGTTTGGTATCAGACTGGATCATGGTTCTTGCAGGATCTTTCGACTTAACGTGAGGTTGGGTTATGGTTCCTGCTGGATCACTCGGCCTTATACCAGACTCGTTCCTGAGTTTTTCCTAGTTTCGAAATTAGGACCCAAAACCGGCTTCCGGGGAGAAATATTTGGAACCAGGCAGGAATGTCCGGTCGTGGGCAATGGCATGCGCATGCGCGGAGCGTTTTGGCTGGATGTTTCCGGTTGACAATAGGCGTCATTCGGTGTATTATTAATGGCACGGAGTGTTCAGCGTGTGGTCATGTGTGCATATCACCGCCGGGGGTCCCGAGCACATTGGGCTTTGAAACAGCAGTTGTCTACATTTCGCGATTTGTGGAAAAATACTTTCAGCTTCACCGTCGAGGGACATAGCGGGAAATCTAACCCGCCTGACAGCTCGTTATGTTCATCAATGTTTCATCTCTTGTAGTTTGCGGTACAGAAAACCACGTTGGGCTGCTGTATACGCCAGGGTTTCTCATGTGACTTACACGAGTGTCGTATGTGCGTTTCCCTGATGTTTTTTTTTTCCACATTTTCCAGGGTGTCTTCCCGTAATGATGTTTACCTCGTCCCACGTCGGATGGTGTTTTCTTTCCGACGTTATGCGTGCTCTGCCATGCCTGGCGTCCTTTTATCCCGGGATGGTCGTCCCTTTATGCCCCTGTACCCTGACTGACCTCCCCCCCCCCGTCCCGCATGGCACGATTTTTTTCTAACTCATGGGGTCTCGTGCATATAGTTGCTTTGATTTTTTAGCCGCCACAGGTCTCACTGGTCGGCTTTAAGTGAGAGCTTGTGTGCAGTCTGTTTTTATGAGGCTGGCGTTCTGTTTTTTATGAGTCTAGCGTTGCAGCATCCATTTGTTCCCCGTATTTTCTGCACCAGGTCTTTGCTTTGTGTTGGCGGATTGTTTGTAATGGCTGTACCTGGCCGCTGGATCTTTTGTATTTTGGTTCTGTGAAGCCCTCTGAAAAACAATATATTTGGAATGAGTCGGTTATATGGTTCTTCTCCCCATGTGTAGTTGCACCACCTGCACTGACGGAAACGTGGGGTGGAAACTCGCATCACAGAAATAATAATGTATGTAATACAAATCATCCCGCCACAGTCATTCAGGGTTGCCACATCCGAGAAAGTTCGACAGGGCTTCGAAATATGCATCGAGCTGGAAAAGTTGATAGGGCCTAACTTGTGGGTAAATTCGACAACAAATCCACTTTGCAAGTTAACCCGCCAGCTCGTTATGGCGCGATGTTGGCCACCAGGTGCAGCTCGAGAGGTCAGCTGCCTGTCGTAGCCGGCCCAGCCGGAACTAGCGCTGTGCGTGCCGGCCGATCGGACACCGACCGCCGTCCAACCGTGATACGGATCTATAGCGGTCGGCCGGGCGGCCGGGCGGCCGCGCGGCGGCGGCGGCGGCAGCGGCGGCGGAGCTGGGTGCGCCAGCGTGCCGCCCGATCGATACCGCTGAGGGTGGGCGTCAGTCGCCTCCCACCTGGAAAGGCCGGTCTCACACCTGGGAGGAAGGGCCTCTTGCCTGGTCAGGCCGACCTTTCACCCGGACAAGCTGGTCTGCCTCCTGGACGGGCCGGCATCCCACTGTAAGATATGCACGCTTAACGTCTTGAGCTGTAATAACGCTAATTTCATTTGTCAGTCATTTGTGAATCAAAGCCAAAACCCTCCCAAACCTCCAATTACAAAGCACTGCCAAAGTGCCAGAACTTGCATTTAAACACTGTCATCCTTTATGAGGCGCACTACGTCCCACATGCTAAACCCCCTCCTCAACCCAGCACCACCCAGACAGATGTGATCAGGATTTGCATACGAAACCATTAGGACTGCGGCAGCAACACTTCACGGTATTCATGTGACTGACGTCGGCAGTAGAGGGAAGCTTTTCTTCGTTCCGCCGCTGCGTGAGCTTTAAAGCTCCGACTTGGTGATAGTTTGGCACGCCCCCGGCTCTTCGGTACACCTCCGGGTGTTCGTTACACCTTCGGGTGTTCGTTACACCTTCGGGTGTTCGTTACACCTTCGGGTGTTCGGTACGCCTTCGGGTGTTCGCTACACCTTCGGGTGTTCGGCACACCTCCGGGTGTTGGTTACACCTTCGAGTGTTCGTTGCACCTTCGGGTGTTTGGTACTCCTCCGGGTGTTCGGCACACCTCCGGCTGTTCAGTACAACTTCGGGTGTTCGTTACACCCTCGGGTGTTCGGTACGCCTCCGGCTGTTCGTCACGCCTCCGGCTGTTCGTTACACCTTTGGGTGTTCGGCACACCTCCGGGTGTTCGTTACACCTTCGGGTGTTTGGTACGCCCCCGGGTGTTCGGCACACCTCCGGCTGTTCGGTACACCTCCTGGTGTTCGCCACACCTTCGAGTGTTTGGTGCACCTCCGGGTGTTCGTTACACCTTCGGGTGTTCGATACGCCTCCGGGTGCTCGGTACACCTCCGGGTGTTCAATGCACCTCCGACTGCTCAGCACGCCCCCAGTCGGTGGTGGTATGGACGCTTCCGGACCACCACCAGGAATATCGTCTTCATCATCTACCTCGGGAGCAGCCGTTAGATTCCAAAGGGCCAAGGTTGGGTGCCCGAATGAATATCCCAGTCTGTGACAGGACAGGCTACTCGGCGGTAGGCGGGGAGTCATAGTTGAAATAGGCCTCGCATGTTCAAGAAGGTCATGCATCCAGAACACGCTTGACTGGCACAGCGGCGGATTGGAAAGAGGCTGAAGCTGCTTCAGGAAGCACCGGTTATGGAGCGTGAGACGGCCTCTGCGATTCGTCGTGGCATGTCACTGATGGCTCCAGAACGCTTCGACCACTAGACTCGTGCAGTCTCATCGCTCGGGCTGAAAACCCTGCTGGTTCTGCACAAAATCGGTGTCTCAAACTCAGGGAAGAGGCTCTGGACAGCGCGTATCCTAGTGGACAGCGTACGATGGCAGTGGACAGCGTACGATCATCCTGTTGTCGGTTAGGGTTCTCTAGAAACGGGCCAGAACCAATTCGCACAGTTCCGTAAGGCTCTGTCATGACGATTTCAGGATTGTGGGTGTAGGGAGGCTGTCTCAGAGCTGGCAGCCAAAGTACATTTGGGTCAGAGACTAGCTGAGGCCACGGAGCGGTGGATTACGGTGCTGAAATAGCGCGTGCGTTATGCGGCCGGTTCCAAGCTACCACGATGGCTTGACATTATCTTGGGGAAGGCGCTCGCGGATGTCGACGGCCAAATCCTCGCGCCCGTCGCTTTGGGCGTTGTACGCGGAGGACAGCGTATGCCCTACGTCCAACCGTCGCGAAATGGCGGAAAATTGGTCGACTTTGAATGGTAGCTCGCCATTAAATTCTGGCGTGTGTGGTACCCCTACTGCGAGAAGAAGTTCGCATGTGTACCATTAAGGTTGGAAATATGCTATCCTCTATCAGGCTTACGCGGACCCAGCCGTATCAGCGGTCGGCGTAGGTGAGATAGTGGTTTCCAGCCAGCCCAAAATAGTCGACACCGGCGCTTTCCTATGGGCGCTCTGGAGAGGGTCAGTTCAGCACGCGCTCCCTGGTACGCGATGGAACGATTACGTGACACGCCGTGCACTGGGTTCTGACACGTGATGTTCTGGGTTCTGACACGCCGTGCTCTGGGTTCTGACAAATCGTGCTCTGGGTTCTCTTCTGACAGAGCGCAGTATCCATATGGGTCTCAAGGAGCGGGTGGCAAACGCTCTGCTCACCCTCACCTCGCCCTGATGGGCTGAGTGGAGGCAGTCCAGGACTTCAGCACGTTAGTACTGCAGAATGGACATCTTGAGAGCACGGACTTCTCGACCTTTGTCAGTCCCAGTATCGCTGGCCCTCTGTCACTGTTCATGGGGGACTTGGGGGCTGGAGCCGTACCATGGTTTGTTGTTTGGGAACCGCGGTACTCAGGGTTTGTATCAGGGTTTGTTGTTCGGTGACGGGGTACTCAGGGTTTGTATCAGGGTTTGCTGTTTGGTGACCGCGGTACTCAGGGTTTGCATCAGGGTTTGTTGTTTGGTGACCGGGGTACCCAGGGTTGATGTCAGGGTTTGTTGTTTGGCAACCGCGGTACTCGGGGTTTGTATCAGGCTTTGTTGTTTGGTGACCGAGTTACTTAGGGCTTGCACCAGGGTTTGTCGTTTGGTGACCGGGTAACTCGGGGTTTGTATCAGGGCTTATTGTTTGGTGACCGAGGTACTCAGGGTTGGCATCAGGGTTTGTTGTTTGGCAACCGCAATACTCAGGGTTTATATCAGGGTTTGTGGTTTGGTGATGGGGCATTCAGGGTTTGTATCAGGGTTTGTGGTTTGGTGAAGGAGTACTCAGGGTTTGTATCAGAGTTTTGTTGTTTGGTGACGGGGTACTCAGGGTTTGTATCAGGGTTTGTGGTTTGGTGACGGGGTACGCAGGGTTTGTATCAGGGTTTATTTGGTGACGTGGTACTCAGGGGTTGCATCAGGGTTTGTGCTTTGGTGGCCGGCAATTCCTTAGAGCGCCACCCGACGAGCTGCGAGCAGAGTTGGGGTGGGATAGACTGACATTGAGGCGATGTATACACCGACCTACCTACTATCACAAATTAAGCGACCCAGTACCACGTAGCACAACACAGGACAGCTGACAACGTGGCACAGGACAACTAAGCACAAAACTACCGCAGCTATCGTGCCAGACCCCACGCTACGGGCAGTAATAGAAAACTCAGAAATGGTAGCATGTATATTGCAGCCACCAGTCATGCACCATCGTAGCACAAATCATTTTTCTCAAGCACCAGCAGCGGTGGATAGAACTGCACGAGACGACACGACACCTCACCCACTCACCCTTCACGAAAATAGCTTTGAGAGCGGATAGAGTAGCTCCATTCATTCCATTATTATATTGTAGGATTAAAAAAGAATATTTTGCGCGCCAGGCTAAGGACGGACATGTCCTGCTTGAGTTCCATTTTATTTTTTATGACAACGTCGCCGGCGTGCCAGGGTGGACACCAAATTGAAAACATTCATGATTTTGTCATACCATGTCCAAAGTATTTATAGAAAAGAAACGATTCGTTTCATGGCATGTTACGAACATTACGCGTCTATTTTACACACAAGTTACCTAAATATCAACTGCGATCGCTATTACATGGCGCAGATGTCAGCGAGGGTTGGGTGCTAGCCCACCATTTCCAAGCCTAATATGTTCAACCCTAGACGATCTGTTAGCCTCACTGTTTTCAACTGTTCTCTCGCCTTGCCAGATGGACGTGCCATCTCCGGGAAGGCGTGTGGTACCTGACCATCCGGCCGAATTAAATAGCTGAGCATGAACATGACCACGATCATAATGAACGGACTGTTGCAGAGTGCCCATACTGGTGTTGTTCGGTGAAATCTTGGCCTGTATTACCGGAGGTTTGTAATTAATGTGAGAAGGTGAGACATCGATCGACCTCTACGAGGCTTTTTATTTGATGGTCCTTGTTGTCGAGACCGACGACCATTTCAGTTTGGAGAGTATCGCTCTCATGATTCACCTGTTCTGGCCTGCTGGCTCGGACAGAAAGGGAACGGACCACCGCCGTCGCGCGTAAACAGGATGGAAACTGCGTAACATCCTCGTTTGGCGAGTGTCAAAGGGCTTACGATTGGTACGATGAACCTTTTTAGGTGAAATCCCCCTGCGGCCATCGTCTTTGCTCGCGGCAACACTGAATTGTCTGTCATCTAATCGAGGCCGGTATTATGGAGATGCAACGGCTGTTTTACATTATTCGCGCTCTTCCGGCAAAGCTCGTTTTTGGTGTCTCTTGTCCCCATTGCGCCCGTCATGGTCCTATTGACACAAGACAGACGCCAGTCTTCATCACATGAGAAAAATCGCCGGGCGGGCAGAGTTTGGGGACGAAGGAAGAGCAGGTCTGTGGCCCCGAAAGAAGTATGCCAGCCATTGGATCTTCAACCTATCGGTCACTCTTGATCGCCTACTGGACGTGTCAAAGTTGTATTAGTGCTTATTTAAAACGTCGACCAGAGCTGCTCTCTATAGCTTCAAACCTCTATTTGCAAAGCACCGCCCGGCACTGCCAGCTTGGCAGCACGCGCATGTGTATGCTATCATCCCAAATGAGTGGCATACTTCCCACACCCACATAGACAGAATGACCTCCCATCCTGGGCGAGGCAGCTGAGTTCATGGCACCAGCCCGTGAAGCCTGTTTCAACATTAGCTGAATGGCTATCCCCGCCAGCTTTAGCACCAGCTCACTGGCCGTCCCGTCCTGTGTAATAGTCGC